TTAATATGTACCTACTAACAACAACAGACTAATCGTATTGTTTGAAAAAAATGTTAAATGCCTACTAAATAAATGTTTGAATACTAAAGAAGACTCATCAACAATATTTTGATCAGCAATATCTAAGTACTGAATGCTCAATAGTTGTGCACTTGTGCGACAAATAAAATATAATTTATCCAATATTCATTCTTTTATGTAATTCATTAATAATTATTTTATAAGTCATACAAAATAATCCAGTAATTATAATTTTTGGCAGATTTTCTGAGATACATGATAAAATATTATGTACTGCAATGGACTAAGAAGTCTAAGTTTAATACTTTTTTCTTAGAGTTGTACATATTTTATTAATTCAATATTTTTATAAAAAGGATAAGAAGGAAAATAGTGTGGTCATTATCCATTTAAAAACAAACTACTGAAACTATAATATATGCCATCATTAGGTAAGTTATATAATCATACAATAACTAACATTTTTATTTAAACCTAATAATATTGTACCATTAACTTCCAAATATGCAGAATAATAATCCATTCCTACGGCATTTTGTGCCACACATGTATAATTTCCACCATTAGGAAGACCAGCAGAAGGAATGGATAAAATATTTGATCTATCACCCATAGAGCTTGTATAAACTCCAGTCTGAGATGACGTAAGTTCTGTAGTGTGGAAATACCACGATATTCTTAAAGGCTTATCGCCTTTAGTCACAAGACATGTTATTTGCACTGGTTCACCAGCAAAAACTGCTGACTCAAATTCAAATGGTCTTATTCGAGGAGGCACTGGAAACCATGAAAATTAACTTCAGCTTAGAGTATCATGTTTTAATAATTGATTAATATTACAAACTTACATTGGTATAATATAACAAACATTACTTATTTTGTCCTTAATGATTGTTCATCATTTGTTTAACTGATAATAGGATCATAATGAATATAGGTAGGAAATTATAGGGAAATAAAGAATATATAATATATGTATTGCGATAAGCATAAATGTACATAAATTACTTAATGTTTATAGGAATACAATTGTTTCATAATATTCTATATTGTACCATTGACTTCCAAATATGCAGAATATGAATTCATTCCAACAGCATTTTGAGCTACACATGTATAATTTCCACGGTTGGAAATACCAGCCGAGGATATTGACAAACTATTAGCTCGATCACCCAAATTATTGGTTACTATACCAGTTTGAGGAACTGTTAATTCTTTGCTTTGCAAGTACCATGATATCCTTAAAGGTTTATCACCTTTTGTCACTAGACAAGTCAACTGAACTGGTTCACCAGCATAGACAGCCGATTCAAATTCAAATGGCCTGATACGCGGAGGCACTAGAATTTTTAATGTGTTATATTATTATTTGAAATTGATAATCTTACATTCACAAGTAACTGATTATAGTTAAAATTGTCTTTAAAAAAACCAGATCATTTTTTGTACAAGTATTCTCTTTTAAGATTATATAAATTATAAAATAAAAAAGTATCATAATATCAATGTTAAGGAATAAATAATGAAGGAAAATTTTACATACTTCACAAACTAACTACAGGAATATCAAAATCCAAACGCCTTAATCGGTTGCATCGAAATTATTTAAGTGGTTCCAGATAAACAATTAAAGAAAGCTTTCAACTTGTTACAAAGATTTTGAAGAAAAAAAATCGTCCAAGTGTATACCATTTACTTCCAAATATGCAGAATAATAATCCATTCCAACAGCATTCTGAGCAACACAAGTATAATTTCCAGCGTTGGAAAGACCCGTAGAAGCAATAGATAAGCTACTTGCTCTGTCTCCCATTGTGCTAGTTGTAATTCCAGTTTGAGATGTCAATTCTTTGCTATGTAAATACCATGATATTCGCAATGGCTTATCGCCCTTAGTGACAAAACATGTTAGTTGAACCGGTTCACCGGCAAATACTGCTGATTCAAACTCAAATGGTCTGATGCGTGGAAGTACTGTAAATATTTTATACTTCAAGAAGTTGAGAATTGAAGCACTACCACTAAATTCGGTACAAATATTGCAAAATAATTTTCAGAAATCACAGAATATTGAAGAAAAGTCCATATTTAATATTTATATGTTAAATATACCTTAATATTGATGTTGGATGTGATAGTGTTTAAAAAATTTGAGAACAAAAATCACATTGTATTCGATTAAAAATAACATTTGTGATGGTAATAAATAATAATTATAAAAATAGTTTATTTACATAGTCTGTAAAATCACTTTATTGTAAATTATTAATAAACCAAATAATATCAAGCAAAAAATATAGATGATTTTTGACACAATCATTAATGAAGATGGTTTCAAAATCCAATCTAAAGAGAAAAACCTATGGAATTTTTTTTCAACAGGAACAGTAGTTAAAAATTGAATAAAAGTACAAACTGTATTAACCCTAAAATGTATAGTACTTCTGTATTCCAGTAATTCAAACATTTTGTTAGTCAGAAAGCAGTGCTTTAATAGTTTTTCATCACTATGTGTAGAATTATCAAGGAACACCCAGTTAAAAGATTTTAATTTATCTACAAGATTATTAACTGTATTTATTATTAATAAGTTATAACAAATAATTAATAACAATTCTTTGGTATATTATAATAATTTTGGAAGTCAAAATTAAATATTTTAACTGAAAGAATTTTTTTATAAATAACACTCTTTAATAATTTGGATAAATCTATTGAAAATATTTTTTGGTACAAACATAATAATAGGATGGAAAAGGCTGATACCTATCAAGGCTATAATAATCTGGACATGCAGATGTGCTGGCTGAAGCTTAATAATAATACTATTGTGCGAATTTTAACTGATGATCTTTACCGTTGACCATTAATTTTGCTGTGTGTTCGATAACACCAGCTCTATTTGTTGCTATGCATGTATAAAAGCCTCTATGATATTCAGTTACTGACGGTATTTCTAGCATAACAATTTTTTTCCCTATTCGATTAAGCAATATAGGCTCAGGCAATGATCCCACTGTTCCACCATCAGTACTTTGAAATGTCCAAGATATGTTAATTGGCATATCACCTCGTGCTACATGACATGTTAATTGAGCGTTATCGCCAACACTCAACTCGCCATCAACAGAAAAAGGCATTATTGAAGGGGGTACTAAAAATTGTAAGAAAAGGTATCATGAATAAATCAAAGTTCTATTTCATTTTGAGTATTATAATAGTTGTTGTTAAGAATGCATGGAAAATGGGAACTAGGTAAACAAAAAGCAAAATGTGCTAGTGCTAATGTTGTGTTGTTACAGTTGAATTTTCAAAATATGCTCCTCTGTATACCATTAACCATCAAAAGTGCAGTTTGATTGACGATTCCTGCTCTATTTTTTGCTATACATGAGTAGCTTCCTCGATGATATTCTGTAACTGTAGGTATCTCTAACATTGTTATTTTTTTTCCAATTCTATTTTCTATTATTGGCTGTGGCATAGGTTGAATACGACCATCTGGGCCTTGAAACACCCATGTTATTTCTAACGGAGTGTCACCTTTTATTACATGACAAGTGAGCTGAGCAGTTTCGCCAACATTTGATTCACCCTCGAACGAAAATGGTTTCATCAATGGCGGTACTAATAACAGGTGTATTGTTTTAAATATCATAGGAAATAATATGAAGAGGAATTTATTGTTTAAATCTAAAAAAATAACTTTTAGCGCCATATTGCCAACAGTTAAGAGTAAGTAAGTACAACAGACATGCTAAGTACATTATTTTTTATTTGCCCTCCTTAATTGTTTACCATTCACAGACAAAACAGCAAATTGTGAAACTCGATCTGCACGATTATTTGCGGTACACACATATGTACCACGATGAAACTGTGTTACCACAGGTATTTCAAGTACAGCTATTTTCTTTCCTATCCTATTTATAGTAGTAAGTTCAGGAAGTGGAACTGAACGATTATTGCCATCCAAAAAAGTCCAAAACAATTCGAGAGGCATATCACCTTTGCTCACATGACAAGTTAACTGGGCATTATCGCCAGCATTGGTTTCTCCGTCAAATGCAAATGGTAATATAACAGGTGGAACTAAAAATTATATTGTTTATTGTGTTTGTTATATTGTCAGAAGTATGATAAACTTTTTACCTGAATGGATAAATTTTAACAAACAACCAAAGTTCACTTACCTGTAGATGAAATAAGTAAACTAATAGTGTTGAGACTTATTTAATTGGATTATCATCAAATCAAGATTTTATAGTTTGATAATTCTAGCTTATTAACAAAATGTATGTATTGTTATTAAATAACCAACAACAATTCCACTAGTTTATTTTTAAATTACAATATTAAAATATACTAATAATTCATGTTGATATGAGATTTTTTTTATTTCTGTTATATAGCATTTGCTAATCAGTGTATCAAAAATCAAAATGTATAGTATTTATTCAATTGTTAATGTTTTGAAAAGTAATAACTGTGTAATACTTCTACAATATATTAACTATGAAACATTAATTATTATTAATGAACTATACATTTTGAATGAAAGCTAAAAACTAACTTTCTTATATATGTATACTCTATAAATTCGTTTATAGGCTTATGATAATTATTATAATTTTCTGAAACAATTAATTACACTCCATAATCTATTCTTCATATTTAAACTGTTATTTTTCTGCTAAGAATTTCTAATTTTGTTGTCAAATAGTATTTTTTTTTATTCTTTAAATAGAATGAAAAAAAATAGTTGCAACCTTAACTTTGGTTACAATAAAATTATTGATTTAATTATTAATCCTGTTCTCGGAGTTTGTTTTAAATTGATAAATGCATATAATAAGTATGAAATTTAAAATGCATTAAATAGAACAATTGAATAGTAAAAATAATTTTTTTTTAGTAGATATGAAGAAAAGATAGAGTAAATTATGTTTATAAAGTGTAATAAAATATTAACATACCCATCACTTGCACTTCTAGATTTCCTTTAGCAGTATGTCCTTGGGCGTTTCGAGCAACACATGTGTAAGTAGCTTGATCTGAAGACCTTTCGACATTTTCAATAATCAAAGTGCCATTTGGAAATACTTTTTGTTTGCGGTTGATAGGAAGCTGTCGATTGTCTAATAATTAAATTTTTATTAAATTATATAATTTAATTAGCATAGTATGTTGAATATTGATGAATTAAACGTTTAATATCTACCTCTTTCCCATGTGATTGATTCCAATGGGTATCCAGCAACTGGGCAAGTAACAAAAAGGTTTTCTCCAGACACTATATTTTTCTTATCCATCGGTCTAATAAAAGGAAGACCGTAAACATTGAGATGTGCAGTATGTTCAGCAGTTCCAACTTTAGATACAGCTACACATCTATAGTGACCTCCATCATTAGTGTGGACTGATGAGATATTGAGATATGAAACTACTTCTCCTGCCATTGTAATATGTTGCCCAATACGAAGCCTAAACATATTAATTGAGTAGAATACAAGTTATTAGAATTTTTATTCTACAGACCTTTCTGTGCTACTGAGCCGTTTGGAATCTAATTCCCAGTTAATTTCAGGAGTGGGATTTCCTGATGCAATGCATTTCAAGTGCAAAGAGACTCCTGGCTGCATAGTGTTGTCATTGAAATATTCTTTAATATGGGGCGGCTCAACTGTAAAAATATTGAAATTAAATCAAATTAACAAAAAAAATATACTTAAAAAAATATCAAGACTACATACATCTTCCTCCTAATTTGAGTTCAGCACTTCCTTGAGCACTTTCTTGCTCATTTCTTACAAAGCATTGATACATTCCTTTATCTTCCTTGCGTACTGAATCAATTCTCAATACTCTTCCATCATGAGAACTCAACCGTTTACCATCTTTCAACCAAGAAATGGTTTTTACTGGATTTCCTTCATAGTTGCAAGTCAGAGTAGCAGGTCGTCCAAAATCCACAGTTTGAATGGTAGGTTCAACAATTGCATTTAATGGAGCTGCAATTTCAAAATCATATATAATAATATTAAATTTAAAAAAAATACAATTCAATAAAAATAATATACTTTTAAAAAACTAATTTGAAAAGATGAATATAATTCAAAAATAAATTTACCTGTAACTGTCAGCACAGTTTCTACGCTTTCACCACCAACAGAATTATTGACAACGCATAAATATTTGCCTGAATCATCTACTTTAGCTTCACGTATTATCAATGTTCCAGAAACTTGTTTAATTCTATCATCTAATGTCACGGCTTGTTTTTTGTTCGATCCTTCAATAAACTTGTACCACCTGTCCACAAATATACTCATTATGAATAACTTTGTATTTTTTATCATAATATATTTTAGAAATGTGACTTCTTAAAAAATGAATTGGTTAATATTTAAAAAATTTTTTTTATTGTATGCTTGAGATTTTAAAATATCTAAATTAGTAATAACATAATATTTTGAAGTCACATTTCTTTTTGATTTAAATAAAAAAGGCAGTTTATAAAGTATTTGTTTAAAAGGGATTTTTACATGAATTAATAATTATTACTAGTATCAACATGAATTTTTAGATATTTAAAATTAGGATAGTTATAAATGATAGGTATTAAAAAGTTTTTTTAAAATAAACATTCATTTTGTTATGCTGTTGTTAAAATTCAACATAAAATCTAAAGAAACAAATAAATTTAATAATTTAGTTTAGATAATAGAAGCAACTAAGTATAAAAATTCAACAGCCTATTTTAGTTAGAATTCTAAATTGTGTAATCATTACACAGATAAAAAATGTAAAATAATAAATATAATTTATCAATTTTGAATTTATGGAATGAATTAACCAATAATAGGTCTTTACTATTTAAATCAAATTTAAAAATAATTTGTTTGCATTAAAATGTAACAATCAAACAATATTAAATAAAACAAATAAAATAGATATGAAATGTGGAAAAACCTCATACATTTTTTAATAAACCTACATATTGTGCAATGTTTGTTTATAGCTATGTTTTATATAAATTTCTAGTGGCAAATTGTGTTACTCATAAGAATAAGTGTCAAATATCAAAAACTATACACCATGGATTTAGGAACTGAGTATTCTTGAATAGGATAGGAATTAGATAAAACACTGGTCACTAACATATTTTACATAAATTATTCGACTAAGAATTTCTGTTTGTAATTCCAGTTGGGTAACTATTAATTTAACACTGATGCATTTGAACGAAAATAGGACATAAAGTATATTTGAACATAAGTCATAACTTACTCATATTTGGGAATAGGAAAACCTTGACCAGGGCACAAGAGTACGGCTTGTCCATTAGCAATAAAATGATTGCCTTCAAAACGTTCTTTAGAAACTTTACCAGCAATATTTGAACGTGGTTCTGTAATTTTGTGCTTTTTTATTTGAATATTTTTAAGTATGAAATAATAGGACAGGAACCCCATTTAAATTATTATTAACACATTAAAACACACGAATCTTAGAAGAATTTGTAGAAAATATATCTTGCTCCCAATAGTCCCAAGACTAATTTCAACTATTTTACAGGTCACCTTCAAAAATAAATATTATTACATACCGATATATAGGAATGGGAAAACCAATCACATTGCAAACAATGAGGACATTTTTTTTAAAAGCAGTTGTTATTAATTTTCCTCCTTCATATTTTTCACCGGGAGCTTTTGGAGATAAATTTCCTGTGGGTTCTGTAAATTTGTTTAAACTAAGTAATTTGTATGGAGTTGGAAAATAAAGATAATACTAAAAATTATGAAAACCCAAATGTTGGGTAAATTCTATTTTTTTTTTTTTTAATTTTATAAGCACAATATAATTTTAACTATTGAATTAATACCTACATAAATATTAAAAATTTTTTTTGACGTGCAGGGTTAATCCTAATTAAGTATGTATAATACATATACATAATTGCAGATAGTCTAATGTAAAATGTAGGATCTTAATATTGTGATAATGCAGTGACTGGCATTTCGTTTAAACACACAAAAATTTTATACTTAATTTACATACCGAAAATAAGGGACAGGGAATCCCTGAGCTGAACAAACCATTGATATATGAGATTCAATCATAAATGGTTTTCCAATTAAAATGGCTAGTTCTTCTTTTTTAATTTTTGGTGAAATACTTGTTTGGGGATCTAAGAACATGTATGGATATGATAATACAAAGAAACTATAACAAATGGAATAAGTAATTATTGTCATCAATATAGGTAGTCCCTGTCTTAATGAAGCCCGAAATATCATTAATACATTATTATTTATCCTCATTTTTAAGTTATGTTTAGTTAGTATATAGTTAGTGGTAAAATTTAGATCTATAAATCTACCTGAATACAGGTACCGGATGACCTTGAGTCTCACATAATAACACAATATACTGACCAAAAACCCCGTCAACGTGGTCAAACTTTGATTTTGTTGGTACTTTAGGAATCACTGTTCCTATTGGATCTGTTCAACAAAACCATTTAGACGGTTTAATGTTTTAGTTTATTTAGTGTGCACTAATATCTGATATTCGTATAGTACACATTGAAATAATTTAAGATAGGTTAGGTATATTACTTAAAAACATTGTAATCACAAAGAAATAAAGAAAAAACTTGGTCTTTCGAATCTAGTTAGGATTTCTTAGATATTCTATTTACCTACCTATTTAGTTATTAATTACAATTTAATATAGTACTTTAAACTAATTACTAACAGTTGAAAATAAAAATAAAAAATAAAAATGTGAAAAATCATTAATCAATAAATATAATGATATATATTGTTACTATATAATATACAGTAGATTTATGATTTTAGTCCATAATTTCCTAGTTTATAATAGTTAAAATTTTAAAACATCTGTATCATACTCTTAATTAATAAAATAATTAAATTTTATACCAACACAATATTAGGAACGTAAAATTATAAAATAGTAAATAACGTGCGAGTATTATTTTTAAGCAATCTCAATTTTTAAAAAAAATGTTGACAATGAAATACAATAATACTATACTTAAACCCAATTAATCAGTTTATCTTTAATAATTAATTAATAATACAAATTTAATTCAAGAAATACGTTTTATTTCCTTTTTTTAAAAAATATAGTATAACTTTATAATTTGTTTTTAATGTGAGTAGTATTATTAAATAAATAAACAATTTATCCAGAATTATAATGACAGATTTGAGTAATATTTACCGAAAATTAGGAACTGGGAAACCTTGTGCTTGACACTGTAGACCAATATTAGCATTTAGTGATCGAATGTATGCTGAAATTTTTGTATCTGTTGAAAAACTAGGAGATTTCATCCCAATTGGTTCTGAATAATATTTGTAACAGATAAAATAATTGAAATCTGTTATTATTTTGAACTTCAGAAGAACATTGTTTTATATACATACAGCTAAATAAACTTTATTCATACTATTATAAAATATTGGCCTAAGTCTACTTAGAATTTTAATTATTATAACATTATGTAAACAGATTAGATGTAACTATTACTATAATGTTTTTTAAAATTATTTGTGGTGAAAAAACTTTATTCAAGGACTAAGGTTGTATAATTAATAAATAACTAATCTATAGATTATGGTTCAAAACTATAAGATATCATAATTATATTTTGTTCTATTGCACATTTAGTATATAGTTATAACCTTTTTTTAATATGCAGCTGTATTTATGTAGGTTTTTATAAATATATAAACTCTTTTAAAGAATTAATTTTTTTTTTTATTGTGACTAATATTAAAATCATCTACTATACCGTATAGTTGCAATCGGGTATGCTTGAACTTCACATAAAAGAGCTATGTTAGAATATTGTACACGTTCAAAAGAATGAATTTTATCGTCACTTGCAAATGTGGGCTTTTTAACACCAACAGGTTCTGGAATTGTTTGGATACTCATTTAATGACAATTTTAAACCTATCTAAACGAACCTGTATGCAGGTATAGGGTACGCTTGTAGTTGACACCACAACGACACGTCTTCATTTGCATATCGAAATGCAAAACGACTTTTTTCATCCAAAGCTAATGATGGAGGTTTGGCACCCAAAGGTTCTGTATTATACAGTATAAAAACAGAATTAATCTAGTATAGTTAAATCTATCTTAAATTACCTAGTGTATTGATATTATTATATGTTTTGAATGTACTTTGATACATATTATTATCTAACTTTATCTAAGACTTGAAATAAATCGATATTTATTTTTGTAGTTGGTACTTTGTAAATAATTACGATACATAAAAAAAAAAAATTATAATTGTAAAGTACTACCGACCTGAAAGACGGTATAGGAAAAGCCTGAGTCTGGCAAAAAAGTGTTATATATTGCCCTGAATGACGTATGATTGTTCTGCTTTTATCATCAGGTGCAGTAGGGGCTTTAACACCAACAGTGTCTAAAGAGGAAATATTTTATCAGATCAAAACATATTTCCTAATAGTAATATTATTCCACAATGTTAAAAAATGAGAAAAATTCTAATAAGAATTTTATATTAACTCAATGTGAAACCTAAGTATATTTATGATTTTGTCTTACCGAGATACAGGAACCGGGGAACCTTGTGCTAGACATAGTATACCAATCCCTTTATTAATTTGTCTTTCTATCCAACTACGTTTTATATCAGATGACAGTGAAGGAGCTTTTACACCAACTGGATCTACAGAAAATTAGGATAATTTTAAAGAGAACCACTATCAATATTATATTATTTCAAACCTGAATGCTGGGATAGGATATCCTTGTGCGTCACATAATAGATTCAAGTCAGCAAAAGACTTCATTTTAAATTTGTATGTTTCTGATTTGGCGGAAAACGAGGGAGATTTTAGGCCAACGGGCTCTAAAAGGTACAACATCAAAATAAGTTTTTATATTATTGTACAATGGTCTCACCTGAATTCTGGGACAGGATATCCCTGAGATTGACACAGTAAAACAATAGCATTCTTAGAACTTTTCCTTAAGCGAGTACCTTCAAAATCTGAAGATAGTGTAGGAGATTTAAATCCTATGGGTTCTGGACACAAATTAAAAATTACTTGAATGCTTATTTAAATAAACAAGTCAAAATCTGAATGTTGGAAGCAAGGTAAGTATTTCTTGAATTTTAAAACAAATAGGTAGGTGATTCATAATTTAATTTATAAGAATTTTCAGAATAAAAAAAATTTAAGTCAAAAATAATTTAATATACGACAGTATACTCAAAAGAAAAAGATGTAATAATTATTTATTTTATTGTAATCAACAAAAAATATAGTCCCTAATAAAGATAAAAAAAAAAAAAAATGTTAACTATCTATGAACAATTTGATAGTAATATTTTTTACCAATAACTCAATCATAATCCTACAGAGTATACCCCATAAAACGGCATAATTGAGTTGTCTTTAAAAACAAATTAATTTATTATAATTTACTATTTAAAAAATAAACAATACTAACTTAACCTGTTTTAACAAAATATGTTTAATAATAAGTAATTGCTAGTTACTAATTTTTATTTTATTTCCTAATACATATATTATGATATCTACATAATATTTAATTCTTGGACACTATTTTTCATAAAAATATGATGGTTTGAATTTGTTTGTGTCTTATAATTTTGACTGCTATAATCATTACATTTTAACAAGAGGTAATTTGAAATTCAAAATTATAAGATTCACATCTAGTTCTCACCTAAAATCGGGTACAGGATATCCTTGTGATTGACACAATAAAACAATTGGACCTTTTACTCGTTTTTTTAACCCTGTACTAGAAAAATCTGATGATAATGTAGGTGCTTTATAACCAACAGGTTCTGAAAATTTAGTTGGTATAAAATGTTAGATTTGTATTTTGAAAAAAATTAAATACTATGTTCTTTGAACCCAAATGCCAGTGAAAGATTTACCCATGCGACTATAATGTAACTCATTAAAAAAAACCTTTCTATATTTTCAATTACACGCTTTATGGAAATATATCTACAATATCCTCTCACCTATGATCAGGAACTGGATATCCTTGTGATTCACACAACAGCACAATATCAGATTTAGCCCTACGATTAAATATAGTTCCTTTTGAATCAGACGAAAAAGCAGGTGATTTTATACCAACAGGATCTATAAATGATTGGATAGATAAAACAATGTAGGTAAAATTTATAATGAAAATACATGTAAGAACAAACAATTGATCTTCAGCTTAAATGTCAGAATAAGGTAAGTCTACTTTCTTTAAGAATAAACATTTTGTGACTAGAATAATTATTGAAAAACAGAAATGTTTTAAAAATATTTTATGTGAGTTAAGACAAGTAAAATGTATTGACATTAAATTAACATTGTGGAATAATCTCACCTGAAACTTGGAGTAGGGTACCCTTGTGCTGAACATAATACTGATAAATTATTATTAGACCGTTTTCTATACCTTGCACTTTCTGCGTCAGATGAAAATACTGGCGACTTAAGACCTACTGGTTCTATAAATTATACCAAAAGATTTTACTATAAATGCCTAACTATACCTGAATGAAGGGATAGGATAGCCTTGAGCTTCACAAAGTAAACTTATACTGTGTGAACTTTTTTTCTTGAATCTGGATGTTTCATCCTCGGATGGAAATGTAGGTGCTTTAAGACTATACGGTTCTGTAAGTGGTAAATTCAATTTCGAGATTGTCTGAGTATTTTATTTTTATTTTTATTCACTATTTTAACTATAAAATATTAGATGATAATCTTAGTATACTATATGTGTACTATATCATACAATAAATTTCTTTAAAATTAAATCAAGACATCAAAACTTCTGAATTTTGTTACCTGTATTCTGGGACTGGGTACCCTTGTGCCGAGCAAAGTAAAGAAAGATGTTCCAATAAATTTTTAACAAACCAACTGGACTTTGAAGAAGACGGAAACGTAGGAGACTTGAATCCTACAGGTTCTGTTTTATCCCAAAATATATAAAGAATAAGTCGATAAAATATTTTACCTGAATGTTGGTACACCATATCCCTGGGCCAAACATAATAAACTAATACTTTGGTCCATTTTTTTTATGTAGGTAACAGATTTAGCTTCTGAAGGAAAACTTGGAGCTTTTAAGCCAATAGGTTCTATAATTGAAACCAAGAAATTTCATTATACTCATAATAATATTTTTTGAAATGAAACAAAATTATGTTTAAACAGGGGTCTCTGCTAATTGCATTAAAGCTCAAGATTAATGCACTTTATAGTTTAAAACTTTAAAAAATATTTATTATTTCAAATTGCAAAATGTATACCTATAAGCGGGAACTGGATAGCCTTGGGCTGGACACAACATATCTACACTTTGCAATAACCTTGATTTGAAAGATTCTGCCATCATTGGAAATTTAGGTGCAGTCGAACTTACTGGTTCTAGTATTTTTTTAAAAGGAAAATGTATTTTAGATTTTTATAATGTCCTACCCACCTTGAAATTGGTACAGGGTACCCTTGTGAAGGACAAAGCATATCAAATGAACTATAACGATGAATTTTAAATCCTTGAATGTTTGTTGTTGACGAGAATTTTGGAGCAATACTAGTAATGGGATCTAAAATAAAATAAAACTTAAGACTAGGTATATAATATGTAGCATGGTAATTATTGTAAGATACAATGAAAGTTTGCTATATAATATTCATAATTTAAAATGTAATTACGTTTAACTGGTTTTCCTAACCCTTATACCGATGTGCTTTAATGAATTTATTCAATTCAAATTCTAGTCCTTACCTGTATGTTGGTACTGGATGACTTTGAGCAGAACAAGTTAACACAAGACTTTGTCCAGATCTGAACTGATAACTCTTACCAGTTTCCAAAGAAGCAAATTTTGGAGATGAACTACCAACGGGGTCTAAGAAGTGATAAAGTTTTTTCTAATGTCAGGAGAATCGAAAAATGAAATAACTTAATTTTTATCAACATTTTATTTGATTTAATACTTTGCACAATTGACTTGTGCTTTAATGTGTCGCAGGGGTACCCTATCCCAACATTCAGGCTTCATTTTCAAACACATATTTTTCAGTAAGCAAGTTTCATTATATTTTGACGGAATAAAATATTTCACATTTCTTTATACGCAGTACAAACATTATGTTGAATAAATAAAATATAATAAAATTATTATTATTATTAAATAATCAATAACTATTAAAATATGATTTAAAAAAAAACTGGATTAGTTAAAGAATATGTGTTTGAATACATTATTAATTTAAAAATATAATATTCAAAAAGTAATATTTTACTTAGACCATTGACGCATTTAATATTAAAAATTAAAAATATGTTAAAACATTTTTGATTTTAACAAAATCTTAATTATACATAAAAAAACATTAAAATAAATGCAACAATGATCTTAATATTATATATTATTTATTATACCAAATAGCTAAATTAAAATTCATACAAAATCCAAATAATATACATAAAAAACTACAACATTATAGAATAGTTTATATTTGGATTAATTTGAAATTAAAAATGGTATTTGTTATTATTAACTTTAAATCTCAAAATTAAGAATAATAATTTAGCTATTGGAATTACACTAAGCAAAATATATTGGTAAATTATGTTGAATAGATCATATGAAAATTAAAAACACTAGAAAGTTATGTGTAAAAATATTTGCCAAAAATTATCAGTTGATTTTGGAATTCATTACATTTGTTTGACAAGTTATCAATTTATTTATCATAGACAAGAATAATAATATTTTACACAGAAATAAAAAAAAATTGAATTTGATAAACATTTAAATTTAAATTTAATCACACTAGACATAATTTTGTTTTGCTTAGAAACTAAAAATTACCATCATAAATAAACTTTTTGATATAGAATATTTAAGTATGTATCATATAATACATTACCAATATATTTTTTAGTGAATAAGTAAGTGATTATATAATATTTTACTAACCTGTAATAACTAGTCTTCCTTTAGTAGCACTAAGTCTTGTTTCTCCAGTTAATCTATGTTTAGTTCGGCATTGATAAGACTTAGTTCCATCTTCTGGTGTGACATCACGAATATGTAATTCTCCAGAAGGTAAAACCAAATATTTACCATCTTGAATATTAAAAATTAAATTATATTAGAATTGATTTGTAGACATTTATTTTGCAGAAGCTTAGTAAAAATATAAGAGATTTCAAAAAATTGTTAAATTCAATACAATTAAAAATAGAAATAAAATGTTAAGGTAAACAATTTTTAATTGTTATCAACAATTTATTTTGTTTAAGTTAGTAATAATTTATAGTAATGAAATCTCACATAATCGATGCCAAATAAAAATATATAATATTAAGAAAGCGCAACAGTAATAATTTTCACTATATAGGAAACTATAAAAAAAGTGAATGTAAAAATTTATTTTAAACAAATAAAAATTAGAGATAATTGTATGAAAACTATAAATTGCTTCATTTAAAAATTAACGTTTGATATAATTATTGAGTTAACGCCATTCAGAGCAGGAAAAACCCATTTGAGATATAATCATATAGTTATAAACTAAAACACCTATACTAGATAGATGTAAACGTTTTCTGAACAATAGCAGCATTACATTTTTTTCAATAAAAATAATTATAAAAAATATTAAAATAATAAGAGTTTTCAAAAATGTATGATGTTCTTGAACAAAAATATGAAACTGCTATGGCATAGATAGCGTTTTCATACACCTCAAGTTATTTGGTTTTAATGATAGTAACAATATGTATGGTTATTTACTTTGGGAATTGGTGTATATAGTAAAATATGATACATGTGGCACCATCTTCATATTTATAACAATGTATGTAATTTATCAATTCATTATGTACATAAATATATACATAATGGATAAAGTTAAATATAATTTTGCATCGATTATTATAGTTTAAAAGCAAAAGCAATAAACATCTGAACAATAATTGAAACTTTATATTGATATATTATTTAGATAATTAAAAAATGAAAATAAATTAATAATACATTAATTAATTAAACCATATCAAAATGTAAAATTACTATGTTTATAAGTCTATTGAATACAAAGTATCAAATTGTTCAGAGTTAACTAACTACGTAACACATTCATACATCACATTCATACAGGATTCAGAGGAACATAAAGGAAAATGATGAAAATATTGGGATACAAAAAAGGAAAACCGCAACGTACCCCTGCCTTGTTTATTTTAGAAAAAAAAGCCGAATCTTTAAAAAAATATTCGAACCTAATAAGACAACTTTAGACGATTAAGATATTTTTGTATTTCAATACCGTAAACATGATTTGCATTAATTGAATACTCATCACCATCGTCTGAAGTCCAACTAGACACAAACACATAATCGGCAACAAAACTAGGGATGTGACATTTCAATATAGCAGTATTTCCACGAAGAACAGATTCGTCCATCACATTAACAGTGTAAAGTTGATTGACCACTAAAAAAAGATAATAATTCAGAATAAACAGTCAGAAATTGTTCGAAAAAATACAATGACATTTATTTAGCATCAGTGTGTGGTATTAATAACAGTGAAAAGTTTAACAATAGTTAAAAGTATACTGTATTTTTATGAAATTTTAAATGATGAAATTAAATATTAAGAACACAGGACGAGAAAAAAAGGAAAATTATGTTATTTGATTACATTTTATTAAGTCTACAATAATAGACATTAATACCAAAGTTTTTATCGGATGATACAAAATATTTGTTTCCAATAGTATCTTCCCAAGAAACAACAGAAACATAATCAGCAACAAATGATGGAACAATACACTTAAAAATTGCAGTATTTCCCTTGATGACAAACATATCATACAAAATTGCTTCATAATATTGATTTACAGCTGAAATCAACCAATTGAATAGGTAACACATTTTCTAAATTTAATTAGAGGTACATAATCAAAATATGGTTATATGACACATGAATGTATAATATAAATAACTATGTAATTAATTATATTGAGGCTTGAAGCAGCTCAAATTATGTGAAACAAACAGCAAACTTTTTAGGATAAAATTATTTAAAAGTTTTTTTTAACCTTTAAATGTCTTAATTAGAAATGAATATATTATTACAGAATTTGAATATGGAACAAAACCAATGAGTAGAATTTTTTTGTGGCAATAATATTTAGACAGGAAATATAAATGTATTCAATCCAAACATTATGACATAGGTACACCAATAATCATTGTTCATTTAAGTATCAAAAATAACTACCATGATCTGTATTTGAAGTAAAATATGTTTCACCGTTAGTAGCTTCCCATGAGTCAACATAAACATAGTCAGACACAAATGAGGGTACCGAACATTTAAAAATAGCTGTATTTCCTCTAATTACAAACATATCATAAACTTGAGCTTCATAATACTGACTCACAACTGTAAAATATGTATTGAAAGTATATAGATTTATATTATATAAGTACAATATACATGTTGAACTTATAGTTTTGAGAAAACCCATTCATTGGTTCAGGACAGTAGATGGAAAATAATTGTTTTTTCTTTTTGTTGACAATTTAAATCATACATTACAAAATATAACAATTATTGTTAACACAAACCCTTATAGAGTTGATTCATAATATACGATTCTCCAGAGTCAGACACCCACTCAATAATTTCAAGAAAATCTCCAACAAAACTGGGTACTATGCATTTTAATATGGCTGTATTTCCTTTGAGTACAAACTCATCATTAACCCGAAGTTGATATGATTGTTCCACAACTAAATTCATATTTAATTAATAGTACGAACTAAATATCCGTTTTTTTAAAATTATTCTCAAAGTTATATTATATAGTAATAGATATATTTTTGTACTGATATCGATGTAATACATTGGAAAGGATCAATAATATTTAAATTCAAAATTATTCATATCATTCATACAATAAACATCGAGTATTCGAGTTCAAAAATGTATTGTACCCTGTTTATCGACAATTGATCCGATATTGTTTCCACTGTCGTCCACCCACCCTAACACGTGAATAAAATCCGCTACAAAACTTGGAACGAGGCATTTTAAAACTACAGAATTTCCTAACAGCACGTATTCGTCAATAACTCTAGTTTGATAAAGCTGATTTACCACTGTATATAAAAAAAAAAAAGTTGAAACATAAATAAGCATGAGTGGACAGAATTATGTAGATTGATTCATAGTTTTTTTGCACATAGTTTACAAAAAGGTTATAAAATAAAGAATAACGATTAGTCATAATCAAAACTATTGAAAACAATTCAAGATAGGATTGAAATAAATACACAGCAGGCGTAAGTACACAACAATATTTATAACCAGACTTTTTTCATACTGCTATGTTTTATAGGTACCATAATCATTATCTTGGTAATACGATTTTCCAGTGGAGTCAACCCAATGAGTGACCGAAACAAAATCGGCAACAAAACTTGGTATTTCGCATTTCATAATGACGCTATTACCTCTGATGACGTATTCGTTATCAGCCTCGGCTTCATAAGACTGATGGACAACTGACAAAAATATATTATACGACTATGATTAACACAGACATTTACAAACATAAGAAAAATCGATTTAAAATTTGTCGGCAGGGTAAAATAAATGCTTTGACTACTATTTCCAACTATTAATATTGCATATTATGCATATGGATATTAGTTAGGATATCTCTAGACAAACGTTCGGAATAATAATCCTCATTATATTTTTACGGATTCTTACAATTATTGTTATTCGCATTAAATAATGTATGAGCAATAAACGTAGTATCATTGTCGGCTATCCAAGCATCCACTGACACAAAATCGGCAACAAAACTGGGGATTTTGCATTTAACTATCGCGGTGTTACCACGTATTACATACTCATTTTCAGCTTCAGTGACATAATTTTGAACTACCACTGTAAAATAATTAACACTTTTGCAAGATAACCAAAAAATAACTGTGTCTACATAAAAGCTGTACAAGGATAATGAAATCTGATATGTTTTGGATTATATTTAAGGATTACTATGATTATACAGACATTTAAAAAGCATAATCTCTCTCTACAATTTTTCATCTGGAAATTTGTTTACTTTGAGTTGAATCTCTAGTATACGTTTGACCTTCACTCGTCACCCAAGATTCGACAGTAATAAAATCAGCTACAAACGACGGCACGCTACATTTTAGTATAGCCGAGTTTCCTCGGATTACATATTCTGTAGGCATCAATTCGGACTCATAGTTCTGATTCACAACTATTTTTAAAAATAATTAAGTTTAAATAAAAAAATGTACTTAAATAGAAAGCCGACGGATTTCAACATATAAAGGAGCTTATAGTATACATTAGAACGCAATACACCCATGACTCATCCAATACTATGTTCAAATTCATAGGTACCATATCTATCACTTAATAGACGGTATTCTTGACCATCCGAAGATACCCAAGATTCAATTGAAACAAAATCTGCTACAAAACTAGGCACTTTGCATTTAATCACTGCAGTGTTACCAAGTATTACATATTCGTCTTCGGCTCCGGTAATATAATTTTGCAATACAACTATACAAATAAAATACTTCAGCCTATCAATACATGATTAAAATCAAAGTGAATTATAAATAATCTATATTATTTAATAGATTTTTCTCAATATACGTTTAAATTACAATAATAGGTAACGTTTTTTAAACGTATAAAATCCTTGCTTAAATTACACAACGACCATTTTAAAATACCACTATTTAAGCGTATACAATATTTCTTGTTAATTCTTCAGAAAAAAAAGAATTAAAAAATAGTAAATAATATCATATTATTAGAATTTAAAATGTTAAGTCTTAGAAATAAAAACTAATCAATTAAAGGCATGTTTTAAGCTTACAGATGTTGGGTTTGAGGAATTGATAGAGTTAATACGTATAGTAAATTTAGCATTTTCTACCAAAAACCATGACCTACCCACCATAATTGTCATTTAAATTATGATACTCTTGGCCATCAGAGGATATCCAAGAATTTACAACAACGAAATCTGCCACAAACGAAGGAATTGTGCATTTTAATATAGCTGTATTACCACGTATTACGTACTCCGTTACCACTTCTGAAGCATACATCTGGTTAACAACTTAAGAGAAAAAATTCCATCAACACAAAGAAATTAGCTAAAAAGAATAAATTAATAACAATTGCATGAAAATACAATAAATAATTTAATACTTATTGTACTTTGTTGTAAGATGTTCATAAAAATAATAAGACTTCAAAATGCTCTATAACTTAACCAATATTACTTACGCCAAAAATAATAAACATTTTAATATTTATCACAAAGGTACGTTTATAGTTTATACTGGGATATAATTTTAAAATCAGCTCATGTGATTTACGAGTGTAAAATTCATCAAAATCTTTCTAATAAAATACCTTTAGTATAATCATGATGAAATATATACTCGTTTTCAGTATTATCGTTCCACGATAAAACTGTCACAAAATCGGCTACAAACGATGGTATACTGCACTTTATAACAGCTGAATTACCTCTGATCACGTGTTCATTATTTACTTCTACCACATAATTTTGCGTGACCACTGATCGTAAAAAAAAAGATAATAGTATATAATATTATCCACATTTAGATTTTAATCGAAGGGGTAACTTGGATGGTAAAATATTAAGAGATTAAAAAGTTGCGTGTAAATTAACAACGAGAGAATTTGCATAAGTGTTTGTTTGGTATATTGTGTAAAACAACGTACGACAAGTAACAACCTGGAGTATGATAGGGAGTGGAAGATTTAGTAGCAGTACAATAATTTAAATTGAATGACACATATTCTCTTCATACACACATATGGTCTAATTTGCAAATACCATGGATAGATTGGGTTGACATAGAGGGGAACACATTTCCGGCGTCGTCTTGCCATGATATAACAGATACAAAATCGGCAATGAAAGGCGGTATACCACATTTTAATACTACAGAATTTCCTCTAATGACATACTCTAAGCCCACATCACTTCTGTATGGTTCTTGTACCACTAAAATAATTTTTATTTATTTTATAATAAAAAAATAGTAAATAATATAATCATTCACTAAATAGTTATTAAACTCTTCATAATTTAACAAGTTTAGAATTTTCAAATAGTAACAAAGGTTATGGATTTTGAAAAGGATTAAAAATGCCGAGTCAAACAATCGCATAGATTAAAACCTTTTATAGGTACCATAATCGGTAGCTCCGTTTTCATTGATGTTGTAGTAATTATTACCAGCGTCATCGATCCAAGAAACTACATTCACAAAATCTGCTACAAAAGGCGGAATACTGCATTTGAATAATAACGAGTTTCCCCTGATCGCATATTCTGGGCTAACATCACTTCTATACGGTTCTCCGATAACTAAGGTATTTATTTTATTATAACAAACCATGAATCAATGGATAGAAAAGAAATTTGTCAGACTTATAATACTAGGATGTAGCTAGGTATCAATACAATAATCGTTCAATTCACAACAAATACACTTAATTCAATACCATGAGTATTTAATGAGTTTATGGGTTTTTCTTCAATTAATGGTGGTTCGTATACATTCCCACTATTATCTTGCCAAGATATAACAGTCACAAAATCTGCGATAAATGGTGGTATGCTACATTTTAAAACAACCGAGTTACCCCGAATAACGTATTCATTATTCACTTCACTTCTGTACGGTTCTTCTATAACTAAATAGACAATACAAAATGAAGAAGTTACAAACAAAAAGAACCTTCTTTTAACAGGATTTCATAAAAATACGTTAGGAATCTTTTCACATCATACTAGATAATATAATATTATACTATTATAGGCATGACCATAAAATACCATAATCTATTCCAGGGTAAAAATTGTCACCCTTATCGGTACTCCACGATAATACAATAACGAAATCAGCGACAAATGATGGAATACCACATTTCATAACAACCGAGTTGCCTTTTATCACTGGTTCTTTATTTACGTCAACTTCATAATATTGACTTACAGCTATAGCAACATAAATAATTAAAACACTATACGTCGGTATAAACATAAATGATCAATGGGCATATTATTGGGTGTAATTGTATGAAAGGTTAGATAGGAATCACTGGCACTTTCAATTATAAAACCAATTTTAATTAAGTTTATATCCATTAAATGCACACCACCAAATTTAATACCATTATCATCGCCTGGATAATATACATTTCCATCATCAGTATGCCATGATATAACAGTTAAGAAGTCTGCGACATACGACGGAGTTTCACATTTCATAATCACAGAGTTTCCACGAATCGCGTAAGCTTTATTTACATCAGTGTCATAAAACTGTGTAACAACTATAAGAAACAGTATATTATATCAGAGTAGATAATAGATATTTTTTGAACATATAGGGGTGAACAATTTTATACGTGTTTAGACAGGGTAAAAAATATGAGTGGCTATTCGTGTTTATTAATCTGGATACTTGACACATATAATATACATGAGCTATGTAGTACTTATGTTGCTGTGTCGCTGTATTTTATTATTCACGGATTTAGAGCATCGCGTACACAGTATAAACCATTATAAGTTCTCTAGGTTCCTCTAGAATTAACTGAAAATGTTATAGAATGTATTCAACATTTGGACATGAATCTAGGAAGAACATCACATTCGAACTTCTAACACACTAATCTTCCAACCGTAATCAGATCCTAGAATATATTCTGAATCTTCGGTAATCCATGATATAACGTGTACAAAGTCAGATACATACGAAGGTACTTGACATTTCATTACAGCTGAATTGCCTTTAATAGCAAATTCTTTAATTACATCGATTTCGTAATTCTGCGCGACAACTAACAAAATACCAAACATTATAAACGGCCAATATGTAAATTATATATAAAAACAATCAATAGTTAGGTACCTATATCATCAGCTGTAAATAAAAAGTCACATTAGTATTAAACAGAATATAATATATTAATATTATAAGCAATAAAGTTTAAATAGATACATATTATGTATAAATAAAATTAATATTTTTGTTTTATTAGTATCACTATTCATATAGATTTTTTTAATCGAAATATAAAATATAAAAATATATATTATATTAAATATAACAATACTATACTAATAAATATGACTATATCAGTATTTAAATCTCTGTCTCTATATACAATTTATATCGACTTGTTAAAGGCAAAAGGAGGTGAGCCACATGATAGAATATAACTTGAAATATTGTTATCATTTGGTGTTTGGTAATTAATTGACCATTCAGTGCTGAAAAGTCGCTTAATTTCTTTTGTCTACAACTAGTCGGCATTAACTGTAATCATAGTTTTCATATCATACATTTTTTTAAAGCTGAAGTTTTGAGAAAACAACACACTGTCTCATCCGTAACATATAATGTAATATAGGTTAATATTCATTTTTTATTAAAATGGTACTTGGTACCTATATTTGCTTTTTAAAAACACCGAACGTGTCGAAAATAACTTTGTGAATAATCTTGGAAGTGTTCCCAATTCCAGAAAACCAAAAAAAAAAAAAAACTCATAGTTATAAAGCTCTCAACATATTAACTAAATGTTTACTAACTTTACATATTAATATTTAACATACATTAAATATAACAGAGACGTAAGTACTAAATAATAATACGATTTGAAGATAAAAATTAGAGACAAAAATTAAATAATGTATAGTATATTATAATATTATCCTTTTGTGAAATATTTTATTAAAAAAATTAGGTATATTAGTATTTGATAATTCCATACCATTAACAAAAAGGAAATTCAATTTAAACTAGCAGAGGTGCTCAAATTTGTACGAAGAATCGGGTTAAATAAAAAATGAAAAATAATATCATTGCATTTACTCGCCAATAAGCGATGGCAGCAGAGGAGTCATATTGCTAAAATAGAGCCCTCACCTGCTGCTGGTTAAACAGGAAAAAGAAGTTAAAAAATATCAATCTTAAAATAATACAAACATAGTATCAAAATTACTAGAATTAATTAAAACATATATTTATTTTTCTGTATAATTTATTTTAACTCCGCAAACATTTATTTATGTATATATATATATTTTTTAAATATCTTATACGTTTCTATTTAGTCGAATATACAGATAATACAATATGCTATGGTATGTTATAATCAAATATTTTAATGCTGTATTTCACTTATTTTATTAAATCACTTTATTTCAAATGCATACCTATTACCCAATCTAATTAAATATAAATAATACCAATTATTTTGTTTAGGAAAAGAAATTTCAGTTTACATACCAGCTCGAACATTTACATCCCTAGAATGTATTACACCGACACGATTCTTAGCCATACAAATATAAACTTGGGCATGTACTTCTTGCTTGTAATCTTCTGCTCGAAAAGGTGGAAATACCAAATTTCCGTCTCCTTTGACCTATACAAATATTAGACAGTTAATTAAAACCAAAAACGTATCTTTTTAATATTTTATAAAATAAGTAGGCACTTAGAGCTGATTAATATCAGTAGGCAATCGGCACAATCAGTTTATCAGACAACTAATATTTTTAAGAATAGTCAATAAATAGTAATAGTGTAATATATATTTACAGTGTTTAGGGGCATACAATGGATCCTAATATTTTTATCTGCACATTCATCAGAGTTGTAATTACATTTTTACCATTTTTTTAAATAAGCAACAATACCTACCTCTTTCTATACGTTCAGATATTCATTTAAAAATAAGTTCATGGGTTAACGATATTAATTTTAAATAAAAGCTCTATAATCTGATCGGTTTTATATCAGATAAATGCATATATCGATTTATTGAATATCAGAAAACAATCGTCAAAACCCATTACCCAATTAAAATTAGAGAGTTCAAATCGACAGCATACATTTTTTTAATTGTTTAGGAGGAAGATTTTTAAGGTTGAACCTTGGTTGAACTGTTATAACAATTCAAAAATGTAACTATCATGAACTGTGTGTTATATTTTCCTTAATATAACAATTATATGAGCAAGTACTTAATTAAAATTAAAAATGTATCTTCTACTATAGACAAAGGTTTAAAATAAAAATTGCACCCACATATTTGTACCTATTCATAAAAAAGCTATTGTACTTAACACAATTAGTACACGTAAAAAGTAATGCTTAAACATTAATCACATTTAGCATACATTAAATATTCAATAAATAACTGTAAATATATTTTTTAGATTTTTAATTTAGAAAATAATTAGAAAATTTAACAAGTACCCATAAGGCCATACCTATACTGTTAAAAGTTTTTGAATAACGACAAAATAAGAAAATCGTTCCATGAGGATTTTACGCGCAGGTGGATCCAAACTTCAAACACTTACAAAAAAATTATTTGACACTCCGGTAAACTTATTTTTTTGATCAATGTAGGAAAACTTACCGTTAAATTTTCAAATCTTATAGATATACCTATATTAAATTTTTTATATAAATTTCTCACTCAAAATGTCATACAAATTTGATGAATTTTGTTCAAGTTCTAATTTCAAACGCTCATAAAAAATATTGAGAATTTACCCTCAACTTTTTTTTTAAATGTACCCTAACAACAATTTATGAGGAACCTTGTATTCAATTTTAAACTTGTTGACAGCGAAAATAATATTAAATGAGATTGTAAACGTCGCAGACTTTGCTTACAACATTGCTACATAAAATATGTAACCAAAATTATCAATTACATACGTCCTCAAAAAAACTTGCAACAATATTGTTATTTTTTTTTTTTAAATCAACCGTACACATAACAAACAACAATGACCTCTATCACATTTAATATGAACTTAACAGGTACAACATTAATAACTGTAAACAATAAGTAAGCCAAGAGTTATAAGCGGGTCGTTATATGGTTGTCTTTTCGTGCATTTAGAATTTAAATTTTAGACATTGGTCTAAATTGAAGCAGAAGAAAAAAAATCCAATTCCAAGTCCAATTATAATTTTCTAAAATATTTTAATTCCTTTTTGATCATCTAATATGGAGGGCGAGAACAGCTGTTGGCGTGGCGACTCACCACGCTCGTAACGCGCATATGCGCGGAAAGCACGCAAGCACGTGTAGTCACACACACGTGAAACATCGAATTTACATTTAAAATAAAGAATAATTTCTTTTTAAAAACTGAATATTTTGTATTGGAGTATACCTATGCCATATTAATTATTTCTTTTAATAAACCATCCTTTCAATTTTCATGCATATTATATTCTATACAAAATAATTTCGATGGTTTAAATCTGCCAGGCGTCCCTTGACGGCTCAATTTTCAACTATAGGTTCTTTGTCAAGTGAGATAACACGCTAATTTTGCGCATCTGAACGTGATACTATAGAGACTGGTTCCATTATATGACAGGGTAGAGTGTCACGTGAGAATTAGCAAAAGAACCGACTTTCGGTAGGCCGCTCTCTGGCCAGTTTCTACTTCGTGCCTATTAAAATCAAAACTAGATATTTACTAAATTAACCAACATTTTAATTGTTTAAGTAAATGATTACAAATTTTAGCCATAAGCCATAATATAGTATTATAACTTTATATATATAATTCTGTGTGTGTTACTGAACTCCTCCTAAACGGTTTTACCGATTTGAACGGATTTTTTTATATGCGTTTAGGTGACGATGGTTTGATTCACAATTGGATCCGATAGGTCCGACCCGGGGAGTTGCTCAAACAGGGATTTTAAGATTTACGAAGGAAATATTTGTTTATATGCGGTTGCTATTGGTTACAGGAGAAATATAAATATATTTATTAGAAATTGGTACTTTTTTTTGTTTATTGGTTGCCTGCAGTGGTCCATCGGGCAGATCAGGTATAAGCATGCATTCAATTGAATTTTCGCACATTGCCTACCAAGGTGGCTGAGTTGCATTTATAGCCGCTCATCGGAGTGTCCGCGATCAAAATAAAAATAAAACATATTATTTATATAAAGTACTCATCAAGCGGAGTTCTCAATCCACAGCAGGTAGGCATAATATACTGCTCGCATTATCACTATCGAGTCTTATTAGAGTTGGCATTTTTATAGGGCAGCAAAGTGCACGGGATCAGCTAGTATTATTATATATTCATATATTTATAAGCTTATAAACTTATATATATATATATATATATTAAATCCAGTCCATCATTATAACACCCATGAGGCCATGATAACTACAGGAGTTCGTTTTATACGTCTTTTATCCACAAATGCACATCCGGCCTCGACACAAATTTTCCGACACTTCCACCAATTATAATTGTATATATATATAAAAAATAAGTTTAAGTGTGTAGTTTCTAAGTTATAACATGTTAAAACTCTGCAGTATAGTACAATTATTACAATTTAGATTCGGTAGTTGTTTGAAATGTACAAAAGCCAAAAAGTTAAAATTAAAAAAAAAGGTGGGAAAGTGGGTACTCGCACTGCTGTACATTTAGGCGGAGTAGTGTGTGTTATACTGTAATAGATATGTTAAATTTTAATTCAATGATATAAAATCACTGTAAACAAAATGCGATTTTGAGTGATGACAGCCTGCAGCCTATATTACTAAGTACATTTTATAATATTATAGCTATAACACAATTTTTATTTTACTATTACCTAGTATTAAACAAAGTTTAATTAATTTTTGGGGAAACAATTGCATTTGAAAATGTCATCGTGTGCATAAAATACAATGGCATACAACTTTAAAAGTTTCAAGAGCCCACGAATAATATTTTTAAATTACAAAATAAAATATCTTATTCATACCAAATTTGTAATTAAAATGCCCATAAAAACTGAGTTTATATATTTTGAGATGTTTTGATTTTAATATGAACTATAGGACATAGGTACTTTCGAGAAATCTACTTTTACATTTCCAATCCTTAGCTATACATGTTGAAAATTGTATGCATTTTGATAAACAAAAAAATTTACATTTTTCATGATTTTGATGAATTTTGCCAAAATTTGAACTTAAATAGGAACATTTTAAAAAAAAGTTTCCAAGTATCTTTTATATTTTTTAACTGCTTAACAACTTTTGAGGAACCTTTTGTATCAAATGTTCAAGCTGTTTGACACATCAACAATTTTAAATGTCTGTAATAGATAACTTAAAAAGAATCAAAATAGTTTGAAAATGTCGTCTATGATTATTTGATTTTAATTGCAACGAAAAACGAAAATCGTTCCATGGAAAATCATTAGTTTAAGGGTGAATATTCAAAAATTTGAACTTCAAAAGCTCATAAAAATTAATTTGCTATTCCGGAAAAATTTGTTTTTTTTTCAAAGGTATACAAACTTGTAAGGAATGTTGTACTTATTACATTTTTAAATCTATTAAATATAAAACTTCACTCAGAAACAATTATTGAAAAATGTCAACTTTTTTTAAAATTAGGTACATTCATAAAAAATAATTAAGGCCCTTGTATTATATTTTCAAGTTTTTTGAACAAAAAAAAATTTAAGCCATAATTTAAAAAAATGTCATAAAAATCCAAAATTTGTTATGCCTATTCATAGCTCAAAACACAACGAAATATAGACTACCGGCTCCCAGGGATCATTCTGGAATGAATAGGTACATATAGGAATCATTCTGTTAACTTATGGAAAGTGTGTACCAAAGTACTTTTACATAATATAGACAAGACTTCAAAGGTTTAAGAAAATCCATTCCCATCTATTTCATCCTATAAAAGTGTAGTTGTGAAAACTAAACATGTTCAAGTAATTTTATAAATATTGTTAAATTAGAATTCGTACTTGTCGTAAACCAGGTACATCTCCGACGGCAGTACCATCAGCACGTATCCAAATAATTTCAGGCCTGGGACTTCCTCTAGCAGTACACTCGACGACAGCTCCAGTAGTATTTGAAAAATCCACTCGGTTTTCAGGTTCTTTGATGAACATTGGTCCCATGGTTGTATCATCTTCGCACAAGACTATGAAAATGTAAAATAAGAAAAAATTTAGTTTTGCATAGTTATTGTTTATTTTAAATGGGTAGATAGTAGATGCAATGATTATAACTTATAAGTTATAAGTATACAATTTTAAACAAGTCATTCAGTTTTAAATATCTTTTAATTTGATTAGAAGCATTAAGTATTGAGTATATTAAGACTTTTTAGTACTAGTATATAACGTAGTTTTAAGTTCATCAATATATTTAATAGATAAATGTTCAAAAGCATTCATCTTTATATGTAATGAACTTAGATTGCTATATTTTAAACAATATAATAAACTTACTGAATATCGGTCAGAATCGTTTTTTAGAATGTGAAGATCTTTAATTGCATTAAAATAAATATATGTATGAACAATGAACATCAAATCTAATAAATCCGTAAACTATCCTGCGGCGTCGAAGTGAACGAAGCGAGTTGAGTTATTCATTACTTTATCAATTTGCCTTTTCAATTATCCTTGGATTAAAATAAATAAGCTCAACATTTTTGTAGCTATTTTACTATATTTATAAACAGTGGCACAGCAACGGGGGTTTAGGGTGTTTACCCTCCCCCCCCCCTCATTGACATTTTCGGCCTAATAAATATTTTATTTATATACGAGAACTGTAAAACTAGATTTAATTTATACTTAACCCTTCCACCAATTCATAATAATAGCTAAGCCACTGTTTACATTTTTCAAGAACGATATAATGTATCGTATAGTGTGACGTTATGAAGTTATACATTTTTTAAAGAAAGAACTCGTATGGTTAATACTATAATAGTCAGTACAATGGAATCTTTTGACATCATTGATGTGCTATAAATTACCTTTATATGCCTTTGTTAAGTTTTTAGATTTAATTCATAAGGAGGAAGTTAAAACTTCAACTATATAATCTTATAAGCTCATTTTATCAAACTATAAGCTATAACACTATTAAAATATGTTTTAATATACATTAATACATTATGACATAATAATACATTTTGTTTGATATATGATCAGTGATCACGCATTATTTATAATTTTACTTGACTATGTTGTTCTTAAACAAATATTCAAAGAATTATAAGACACAATATAATATACAGACGAGTCTCGATACCTCAAATCTCAAGAGGAATATAAATAAATTAGAAAAATACTTCAAGGTGCAAGAAACAAAATTCGAGTTTTCGAGGTGTCAGTTATCGATACTTCAGTGTATTCTATAATTTATTTTAATTTATAACGGTAAAAATAGTACGTATCGTATCTACAAGAGCTTCTGGGTGTCACCATATAAATAATTAAGCAATTTTAAAATTATTGCTCACAAAGAACTTCAAATTTACTAAATTATAAATAACCAATTAGGTTAAATTCATAATACTTTTAAACTTTAAAGTTAAAATAGAAATAAAATGGAAAATTTCGTCAAAATATATTATATTTTATTACTGTAAAATAAAAATAAAAATTAGTTAAAAAATAAATTTAATGGTTTAATAACTTTAAACATTATAGTATAATGTTAAAAAATACCCCTTAAAAAAAAAAACCACAGCGTTACATTATTATATAACCGGTCATTGTTGAATTAAGTTATTATGAACACATGTTCTCTGTATGAGGTAACAAACACGTGTTTTAGAAGACACAAATAAACTATACTTATTCAGATCAAAAAATCGATATTTAATTCTTGAACGAGTCACAATTATTGAAGACTTCGTATTTAGTAATTTAAATATCTAAGTAGAAGACTAACGCGATAGGAATTTTCTATAAATAAACACTAGTGGTATATGGTAGGTATTATACATGTTAGGATAGATATACAAGCAATAGTAATATTTAAATAAATGTCAAGTAAATTTAGTTCTAAGACCTAACCGCATAAGTCTACAGTAAATTGAATGAGGTATTATAGGTACCCATAGACTATACCTAATACCTATTAAAATAGATTTTAGGCTTCATTTTAGTATAATCCACAAACCTACCAATAGTCTATACGATTTTACATGGTATTAATTTCATTATAATTTAATTATTAAATACGTTTTAATCATTATTTACACTATATTAATTAATTGTTAAATTAATATTAACAAACAAATTTAAATAAAATAATTATATTTATTTCAATATGAAATAGTAATATAAGTTTCTTATACCTATTGGCTATTGGTTATTGCATTATTTATTCAAACATAGAGGATAAATCGATAAAGTATTGTACATTAAATACATATTTTAATCTATATATTATCTGAAAGTTATGTGGGTATTATTTAGTAATTTTCAAGGTTGTACTGACGTAGGTACACGAAACATGATTAATATAGAATGGTTTGAGTATAAGTGAACGGAAAGCAAAATATGTGTGGATATTATCTTAAATAATGTATCCTCTATAGTCTAAACTGCGTGTTAAAATTAAATTTAATAATATTCATAATGCAAGCGTTTTCAATACAAGAAACCTATAGAAACATAAGTAAAATATATATGTAGATACCTGAAGACTGAAGTATTATAATTCTATTCTGTTGTATCGTTGAACGTTGAAATTTACTGTTAAGCTGTTAAATGGATATAAATATTGTAGATGTTAAGTTTATAATTATTTATTATAATTTATAAATATGCTCAGTGGATTGTCCAACTACCTGAGGTTATGCTATTAAAACCTCAATTGATACTCTCTAGATTGAATTTCAGATGTATAGGTATAGCAATATATTATTTACCTATTTATTGCTTATAGGTAAATATAATTATTGTTAATTGTTATCTTAAATTAGAAGTTTATCTATGAATTGTATCAATATTATTATTTAATGTTATAATAACCATGTAGGGCTAAATATTAAATACAATTTAATTTTTAGTAAATATTAATTAATTTGCAGCATATTATTAGTACAAATATAAAATATATGACAAAATAATTTAATATAATTTAGGTAGGTACTCTGTGTTCGATACATTTATTAGCCAAACGAGCAACAAATTAAAATGTACAATGAAGACGAATTAAACGACAACGCGCTCAGTATTGACCTCACTCAACACAGTGGTGTTCCCACGATGACAATTTCCACACACAAGCACACACATACACATATTATAATCACTGCACTGCCAAGTGCCAAGTCATGATCGTACTTTTCCAAAGAAAATTTCATAGTTTTGGTATTTTAAAATACGTAAATATTTTGTTTAAAAATATGGCTATATGAACCAAGTCAGGTGGAAAAAACTCAACAGGTACAAACATTATATTACTGGGATTTTCTACACCGAGATTTTATAGGTACATTTTTATCAGCCACATGCTTATGTTATGTACATGCGCCGAAAAAAGAACACCTGGCTACCGGCCGGCTATCGTCACGTATACCGGTGGAAGAACGTGTGTGGGTCACCATTTGAGTACTGGCAGCTGCAAAACCCTACAACATCTGTCATGGTTTAGATCTCAATGTGTTTATAACCACCGATGAAAAGAAAACTATGGAATAAAATAATACTTTTTTCTCCACATCACCATAAAAAAATATACTTACAGTATTTTGAAAACTTTTTAAGCTATTGAAACAAAAACGAAAAGAAAAATATAATTTAATACGATGTAGTAGGTATACCAATCAATATAAATAAATTATAGGTACCAAGTACCTACTATATAAGGGTAGGTACATACAGAGTCACAGAGGTACATATTATTATAATAGTATGTAGGTACAGTGGGAATTGTAATAAATAATTATTTAGCATAATAATGTATTATTTAATATTGATGCCTACTGCTGCCTAGTATACATTACAATGTATCCTTATGTATAGAACCTATACTTTTTTATATTATAATAATAATATAATATATACTCATTACACTTAATATTATTTATTTTTACTTATAAGTTATTACATATTATTATAATACATTGCGTATTTTATCGGATGATTCACTGTGAAGTGTCAATATTTTAATTTCAAACGTTCTAATAAACCAAAATAATTTAATAATTTATCAACTGGGTTTATTCTAGTATAAATACATTGTAAGTAAATCTTTGAGCAAACCCATTACACACAAGAGTAATGAATTCATCATTTAAATTCAATATCAGGAAATAAAATTAAGTTATGGTATTTTAATATAGTCATATAAATATGAACAAAATAGTGACAAAAACGAGGCAAACGTACTACTAATCGGTAAAAAAGTAAACTGACCTAGTGTTAGCGTTTATCTAGTTCGTCTATAAACACGTTTTGGTGACTCAAAAAATCTCGAGTCAGTTCGGTTAGGTTAGGTTTAGAGTTTAGGGTAGAGCTACCTATGTTATCAAGTACATTATTAACTATTGTTGCATAAAGTTTAAAGTTAAGCTTATAATTATCGATTTTTACAACAACGGAGTACATCATTTTAATTATTTAGTCAATTTAAGTAGGAACACAAAATCAGACTAGGCTCATGGTAATTTGTGTTTTTTTAAATTCTTAATTTTAAATTATGCTACCAAATAGTACATTTTAATATTTTATACTATTTTATATTTCATTTATTATAATAATTATGCATCTTAAGGTTTAGAATTGTTGAATACATATTACATTTTGAGTATTCATTTCAGCCTATGCTTAAATATCATGAACAACATGAACTATACATTAGTATATCATCAGTCATCAGACGAGAAATTACTAACGACTGACTCACAGGCTCATTCTCCTCCCCCGGAATATCTATTGTTCCATCAAATTTGAAAGTCAAATTGTAACATGGACGTCGTTGTTACTAATTATTGTTATTATTTAAATGTACGTGGACGACGATATTTTGTTGGTAAACGTAAAACCATTCTAAGAACAATAAACCAAGTGATTACATGAAACGCGGTCGAGCATAACGTAATTTACGATATATATGTTGAACACACACAGTTGTAAAAGAAATGGTTTGAATCTTTTTATTATATTTAGA